ATTCACATCACATCACACCAGAAGAAAACTTGCTCGCAGCTCTCTACCAACAGTTACAGGGAATACATACAATACAACTTGTAACAACTTCAGCTTTTTCATACCACTCATTATCAGACAAAAGTCTTATAAACAGGAGTTAGGACAAGTCATCCAAATGCTTCGTCAAAGACGTAGATTTTAATAAGTGTTTTGAAGGTTAAGACAATCTGAGAAATTTGGAGAGGGAATTTGGGAGCTTATGACCTAGGTAGCTGGATATAATCAGTTCTGTGGTCCTCGTACCTGCCTCACTGTGATCATGATTTTCCTCGTGCTACTCCTCAATAAATGAGTTGGCTAGGTGGCTGCTTTGCAATGCAGAGTGACACCAACACCATGGGTTCGATTCCAGGTGATCCAGGAAGGTCCCAGCTTCTCAAATCTGCTTTAAGGGTGGTGATCCTTGGCTTAATGAGTCCTCCGGGACTATGGTGACTTTCACTTCCTTGATTGTATGACTAGAACTGGGAATTCTAGTAGCAAGGCTGGTTGTCCCTCCAACACAAAACACAGGAAATACTTTAGACAAAAGGATACCTTCTAACCAAACTTATAAAAAGCTGATGGAGGATGAGCTCAATATTTACATTTATTGTAGAAAATGTTCCTTTTCTGATCAGCAGACTTTACTTTTTAAAATAACATTTAAAAGAAAGAAAATAAAAGTCATATTTATCTTTGGTCAGGGGAACTTATAAAGCCTTGGAAACATTTTACAGAAACGCAGGAGCATCACTCAGACCACTGCACTAAAGTGTGGCAAAGCATTAATGCTTTTAATGCCTGTCAGAACTATTTTCAGTGGGTTTTTTTTTGCTTCAATGTCCTCGTTCCTGTGATTTCCTATTCACAAAAAGACATATTAGGACAGGTAACTAAAATCTTAGTTAAAAACGTTGGTCTTAAAGTAAAACTGAAAGGATGAGGGAGAAGTAGAGAGGCAAAGAGGTTTAAAGAGATTATTCAAGACTGTAGGATCTTTAGGCAGCTGAAGACATGGCTGCCATAAAATAAAAATAGGGGATATGCAAAGGGCCAAATTTGGAACAGCAAAAAGTTCGGAGAAAGTTGTAGGGAACCTTGCATTCATGGAGTTAAGGAGGGGCAAAACCATCAACTGCTTGAAAAGGAGGATGAGAATTCAAAAACTAATGTGTTGCTGAGTTGGACCCCACATAGATCAATGACCTGGTGTGGATTAGAATACAGGAGGCAGAATCTGAAGACTTGTAAGAATGGACAACTGGTCTAGAATTCTCCCTTAAGGTCTTGAAGGAGTTTAAGCCAACAAGTGCAAGGACTGTTCGAGGCCCTTCATTAACACCCTCCAAACCCACCTCCTTCCTCACTACTTAGAAAGACAAGGGTAGCAGTCGCATGGGAACACTGACATTTGCAAGGCTCCCACTCCCAGCAACACCACTTCCAGCACCATAGTCTCAAATAGTCCAATTTTGGAGCTATATCATCATTCCTTCATTGTTGTTGGATCAAGCTCCCGATAGTCCCTCCTTAAGAACAGTCTGTCCCCCTCCCCTCATAAACTCCAAATGTTCAAGGAAGCAACTTACCACCACCTTCTTAAGGGCAATTAGAGAGAAGAAAACAAATGCTGGTGTAGATAGCGATACCCACATTCCAAGAATGGAAAAAGAAAGGTCATCAGGGAAAACAGACAGTTCAAATATTTCAAACAGAGTTCCACAGGGGAAAAAAATGATGTTATGGAAATTCGGAGATAGCAAGAACTGCAGATGCCAGAGTAAGAGTCAATACAGTTTGGAGCTGGAGGAACACAGCAGGTCAGGCAGCATCAGAGGAGCAGGAAAAATCGATGTTTCAGGTGGGGTCAACTTTCCTGCTCCTCTGATGCTGCCTGACCTGTTGTGTTTGAGTTCCACACTGCATTGATTCTGATTTATGGAAATTACTATGTTTTACTTGCCAAACTCATCCTGTTGAATTTATCAGGGACAATGATACAAAGCTAATTGTACATGTTACTGAGAATCAAAAAAAGATAAACAGGCAACATGTTGAGAGACCAAAGGGATGCTTTAATGAAGCTCTTGCCTCTGAGGGCCTAGATTGCTACCTGGGACATTCCACTAAGGTCTAAAAAGGCACTCCATTTTTTTCCTTCTTTCAAGGACACTCTTCCCACTTACTGAAGCTTCTTGTGCAGTGGTTGCTGCTCAATGTTTTGGTTGATGAGTGAGTACAAGGGAATTAAATGGAAAGTCTACAAACAGAATAAAGCTGCTGGCTTACACTTGACAACCACTTAATTATCGAGTCTGTAGTTTAGCATTAAACGGGAATGCTTTCATCTGTGGTGGGGATGCCAGCATTACCATTTACACTGCAATTTTACATGACAATCTGTATTGACAAGGACTGAGTTGCAGAAAGACTTGACTGCCTTTCCAACGCTGGTCACCATTCATGAAGAAGACGCAAAAAGAAATGGAATGGTCATCAAAGAAAAAGGCAAAGCACAGGCTGGCAGTGGTACTGGGGAACAGACGTGTGAGATGGCACAGCAATAGTGAGTTTAGGATCCCATTCCAGTAACATGAGCACAAATCCTAGGTTGACACTTCAGATCAATACTGAGGGAGTGCTGCACTGTTGGAGGTGCTGTCCTTTGACATCGATGTTATAGAAACAATTTGCAGGGTTATGGGAAAAGGCAGGAGGATGGCATTAAGTTCAAACACTCAAAGAGCTGGTGTAGACACAATGGAATGAATGACCTCCTCCTGGACCATGACAATTCTGAGACTCTGTGAAACCAACGTCCTGTTTGCCCTCAGGTCGATGTAGAAGATCCCACTGCTCTGTGTCCTGGCCAACATGACTAAGAGACAGATTAAATACTCATTGATCACATTCCTGCTGTATGTAAAATTGCTGGTGCATTTCCTACACTAAAACAGCTCCTAGACTTCAATAGGTGGTTAATTGCTTAGGAATGTTTTAAGGTCATGACAGGTACCATATAAATGTAAACGTTATTGCTTTTGATCTGAAGCTGGACTGAGGATGTGGATTAAAAACATGGAGCAGCAGGAGAGGCGTCAACTCAGGAAAAAAGATCAAGAGAATGAACAGTCTAAATCAACAAGGATTACAATTTCATTTGGATCCCAACAGGGGTCAGTACGTATACCAGTGTGGAATGTGCACGCCTGCAGTATAATTATAGTCACCTTCAGTCCTTAACTGGACTTCAATTTCCCATGGAAATGGATGAGAGTTTTTGAATTAAGCTTTATAGCATTGCAGATTCCTACTAAGCACCCGGCAACAAAAGAGGATTACACTTCAAGGAAGAAATGCCTAACTTTGCACCACATCAGCAAGATTTCTTTGGTTCCATTGCTCAAAACACACATCGGAAATCAGTAGATTGTGGCTGTGGCTACATTCCCTGCAAGTATTTAGTACAAGGACCACTGCAAACTCTAGCATCAAGGTCTCAGGCTCTGTCAATTGCACCATGGTTCTAAAGAATCTACAATCTCAGAATACTGGCATCTCCCTCAAGGTCAGGTTTTGCATCATTTTCTTTTAAAGCACCCACCGGCTTTGTCCATTCTGGTGCAGATTGATCTTGAAGTACCAGAGCTCATGGTACAGCAGGGACCCTGTGTGTAACCAGCTCTTCACAGCCTCACACTCCCAATCTATTGGCAGCCTGTGCGGAGGGACAGTGGGCAGGCAGATCGGGGGCCTCCTCGTGGGCCTTCCCCTTGGAGGGGCCGAAGTTGCCATTTAATAGGTCCAGGCAGTAGGCCGTGGAGGGGGGCACAGTGCCTGACTGCTGCCCCTCCTTCATTGTTACATTGGGGTATTTCCTGACAAAATCATGTGGTGTCTGTCAGCAAGATAATGGTCTTCAGAGACTGGTGGGCACAGCAAGGGCTAGGGTGCACTGTCACACCGGACAACATTATTTTGATCTGTTAAATTTCCAATCTATAAGGTTCTGTTAACGACTTGTTGCTTCTGTTACAATTCCCCACCGGGGACTATTCAAACCTGTTCAAGCTTACTATTTGAAGAGTTGGAACCAGCCCCACCTTCATCTCTAAGTACAGCTGGGGGTTAGAGAAACTGAAGCTAAGGGCTTCACCCTCTCATCTCCCTGTTCTCCTGATGGAGAACGCTGGCAAATTTAAGCTCAGGCCTCAGTGAGATTGCCAATCTCTAACACAACACAGTTAAAATCAATACTCGCCGCATGAGATACAGAGGATGACACATTTCACTGGATTAAAACACCCTGAAGACACTAACTTGATGATCCATTGTTAAGGTAAACACCCTTACAGCAAAAGAAAGATTATTTTTGGTGTGGCATCCTGTTGCCAGTGCAAATATAGCAAAATATTAGTCAACTGAGGGAATGTACCATAGAAATGTTTATGTAAGAGAGAACAGATTTATTGGACAGTAAATTAGTAACAATTGCTTGAAATATAATCAGGATTACCAACAACGAAGTACATCTAAGCAATATTCACCTAAATCTATAGTTAACTCAGTTTGAGACAATGACAGTCAGAAATGGTTAACAGATAAAGAAGTCCATTGAACACACAAAAACACAGACATTATATCTAATAACAGGAGACTTGGAAACCACAATGCATTTTTATTGCTTCGAATTAGGAGAGGCGATCTGTTACTGATCAGAAACTGGCATTTTCACTGCCTCTGAAGTTTATTGTTCAAATTCTGTGTTACTTGGACAGCAGTTTGCACGACATGTACAAATGTAGAAAACCATTGCAATTCTCACATGATGTCAAGTCTAATTGCCGGCCCTACTTGTCATAGTTTCATTTATGCTGTGAAGATAATAGCTGCCACTGATACTGAAAATCATCTATTAGACTCAAAATTCCACCATTAGCAAAACTGTTTAGTTGTTTAAAAGACTCATAGCTTACCTTGTGACATCTAAGAATGGTTTGTAAGCTATGATTGTCCAGTCTTCTTTATTCGCAGAATACCTTGGTTCACGTGGAGTCTCTATTTCTCTATCAAGGTCAACCAAATAATGACACTGTTTGATGTCAACCTGAGAAGATCAAGTTAAAATACACTGTAATAATTTTTAGTATCTTGCAATGGTTAATACAGATAAATTTAATTCTCCCCTGTTCTCTGCTCTGTGCCACAGTTGAAGAGAAACCTGGAGAATCCGTGATACATTGTTTTACATCCATCTCTCACCCTTCTGCAGATGAAAGCCCAGTCTGTAGATATCAATGAACTCGCTCATAACATCAGTAAGATAAAGTATTATATTTATGACTCTAAATCCATTTTATTGCCACTTACTTTAAAAAATGAAATTAATTACTTTTTTTTATTCTTGCATGGGATGTGGGTGTCACTATCAAGGCCAGCATTTATGGTCCATCTCTAACCATCATCAAACTGAATCACTGTCTAGGGCATTTCAGAGGGCAGTGAAGAGCCAACTACATTGCTGTGGATCTGGAGTCACATATAAGCTACGCTTGGTGGGAACGGCAGATTTTTTTCCCCTGAAGGACATTTGTGAACTGATGGGTTTTTACAACAGTCAATGATAGAGATCAGCTTTCTGCTCCAGATTTATTAAATAACGTTAAAATCCAACAGCTGCCATGATGGATTTGAACACATGACCCCAGAGCATTAGACTGGACCTCTGCAATGATAGTCCAGTTATGTTACTACTGCACCACCAGCTCCACTTGTTACATCATAAGTTACATTCAGCAAATAACACTTTGAACTCAAGTTCACAAGACCATAAGGTATAGGAGCAGAATTAGGCCATTCAGCCCATCCAGTCTGCTCCACCATTTGATCATGGCTGCTCTGTTTCTCAATCACATTCTCCTGCCTTCTCCCCATAACTCCTGATCCCCAAAGCACTTCAGATTCCAGATCCAGTCCAGGACTTGAGCACATAACCAACTCTTCCAAAAAGTGCAAAGATTAAGATGATATTTTCTGAATGCAACAATAAAACAAAGTTTATTTTGTGCCCTGGTGACAAATATTGTCTGGTAATTCCTCTGTGAAATGTCTTGGGATAGTTTACTATTAACAAAGTGCAATGTAGATGGAAATTGTTGCTGTTGAGATTGATGGTTATACATGAATGCAGATCTTGAAGCCAGACTGAAATTGAGGAGTTCCACTTCACAGATTTTATCACCATTTACATCGATATACCAGAGAAGCTTGGATTGCTCTCCTTGCACTAAACAAAACAGTAGATGAAAAGCAAAGAGCCATTCAAAATCATGAGTGGTCTAGAAAGAAATTGTTCCCCTTGGTGAAAAGATTGGAAACCTGAGGACACTGGCTTAAGGTGATTGGCAAAAGAAGCAATGGTGACATGCAGGAAAGCAGTTTTTTCAAAGCAGTGAATGGTTAAGATCCAGAATGCACTGCCTGAGAAAAAAACTTAAAGGTAGATAAATCTTTGGACCTGATCAAGTGTATCCTAGGACTTTGTGGGAAGCTAAGGATGAAATTGTAGGCCCCCTGGCAGAGATATTTGTACTATCTACAGTTAAGGATGAGGTACTGGAGGACTGGAGGATGGCGAATGTTGTGCCTATATTTAAGAAGGGCTGTAAGGAGAAGCCTTGGAACTATAGACTGGTGAGTCTCACATTAGTGGTGGGCAATTGTTGGAGGGCATTTTGACAGACAGGATTTATATGCATTTGGAGAGGCAAGGATTAATTAGTGATAGTCAGGATGGCTTTGTGTGTGGGAAATCATGTCTCACAAACTTGATTGTTTTGAAGATGTAACCAAAAAGATTGATGAGAACAAAGCAGTAGACTTTGTCTACATGGACTTTCAGTCTTTGACAAGGTTCCAACTGGTAGACTGATTAGTAAAATTAGATCACATGGGATTCAGGGTGAGCTTGCCAATTGGATACAAAATTGGCTTGATGGTAGGAGACAAAGGATAGTCGTGGAGGGTTGTTTTTTGGACTGGAGGCCTGTGACCAGTGGTGTTCAGCAGGGATCGGTGCTGGGTCCACTGTTGTTTGTCATTTATATAAATGATTTAGATGAGAATTTAAAAGGCATGAATTATTAAGTTTGCAGATAACACCAAAATTGGTAGTATAGTCGAAAGTGAAGAAGGTTATTTAAGATTACAAAGGGATCTGGGATCAACTGGGCCAATGGGCTAAGGATAGGCAAATGGAGTTTAATTTGGATAAATCTGAGGTATTGCATTTTGGGAAAACAAACAAGGGCAGGACTTACACAGTTAATGGTACGGTCTTGAGTAGTGTTGTCAAAGAGAGAGCCCAAGGGTTTCAGGTACATAGTTCTTTGAAAGTTGTGCCACAGGTAGACAGGGTGGCTAAGAAAGCATGCTTGACCTTCATTGCTCAGAGTAAGGGAGTTGGGTCGTCATGTTGGTGAGGCCACTTTTTGAGTATTGTGTGCAGTCCTGGTCACCCTTCTGAGAGGAAGGATTGTATTAAATTTGAGATCTTTCAGAAAAGCTTTACCAGGATGTCGCCAGGTTTGGAGGATTTGAGCCATAGAGAGAGGCTGGATAGGCTGGAACATTTTCCACTGGAGCATAGAAATTTGAGAAGTGACCTTACAGGGGTTTATAAATTCATGAGGGGCATAGTTAAGGTGAATAGCAAAGATCTTTTCCCAAAGGTGAGGGAGTTTAAAACTAAAGGGCATATTTTCAAGATGAGAGGAGAAAGATTTAAAGGGGATCTGAGCGACAACTTTTTCGCATATAGGGTGGTTCGTATGTGGAATGAACTGCCAGAAGAAGTGGTAGACGCACGTACAACATTTAAAAGACAATGGATAGGTACATGGATAGGAGAGGTTTGGAGGGATATGGGCCAAACGCAGGGAAGTGGGATTAGTTTAGTTTGGGAACATGGTCGGCATGGACGAGCTAGACCGTAGAGTCTGTTCTTGTGCTGTATGACTCTATGGCTGTATGGTGCAGGCATATTTAATTGTGGTTTTCAAATCAGGATTGGTCAATATCCAAAGAGAAAAGACCAGCAGGGCTACAGGGAAAAGGCAAAGGAGTGGGACTAGCTGTGTTGCTCATGCAAGGAGGTGACAATGGATTCAACAGACTCAGTGGCCTGCAGCCGTGCTGTAACCATTCTGTGATTCTATATAACCAGATATTTGCCACAGTTTCACCATGCATTGATCATCTGAAGGTTATGGTTTTTTAATTTTGGTTGCCGCTCACAACAGAAAAATAGAATTAATGTGTGTAGCACTAGATAACTCCCTCTAAAATTGCACAGAAAAACCTACAAGGTGGAAATACATGTAAAAGTGAATTTAACAACAACTAACAATGGTACAAGCCAACATCAGTGACACAATCCAATTCCCTTTCTCTTCCTCTCCCTGTTCCTACAGGATCTCCAGTGTTTTTCCTCATTTTCTGACTTTTCACTCCCCAGTTGGGATCTAGAACTCGCTGCTTGAAAGGGTTGGCAGAGACAGAAACAGGTAACTTTTTAAAAAATACTTTAAAAATTATATACAGATAGTTCTGCAATAACGCATGTTTTGTTAATGCAAATTGGCTGTAATGAGATTGATGAATAGTGGACGCTGTTTGGATAACGTGAACTTTCTGCTGTACAGGTATAGTGATTTCCCTAAAATGCGATTTTGCATACCGTAAAGTGAACGCAACTATCACGTTATAGGAGAACTACCTGTACTTTTTAAAAATTGTTTGTGGGATGTGTGTGTTGCTAGCTGGTCAGCATTTATTGCCTGTCCCTTGTTGTCCTTCAGAAGGTGGTGAACTGCTTTTTTGAACCACTGCAGTCCACCTGCTGTAGGTTGACCCACAATGCCATCAGGGAAGGAATTCCAGGATTTGGACCCAGCAACAGTGAAGAGACAGCAATATATTTCCAAGTCAGGATGGTGAGTGGCTTGGAGGGGAACTTGAAGGTGGTGGTGTTCCCATATTTCTGCTGCCCTTGTCTTGCTGGATGGAAGTGGTCATGGGTTTGGAAGGTGCTGTCTTAGGATCTTTGGTGAATTTCTGTAGTGCATCTTGTAGATAGTACACACTGCTACTACTGAGCATCGGTGGTGGAGGGAGTGAATGCTTGTGGATGTAGTGCCAATCAAGCGGGCTGCTTTGTCCTGGATGGTGTCGAGCTTCGTGAGTATTGTTGGGGCTGCACTCATCCAGACAAGTGGGGAGTATTCCATCACACTCCTGGCTTGTGCCTTGTAGATGGTGGGCAGACTTTGAGGAGTCAGTAGTAATCCTAGCTTCTGACCTGCTCTTGTAGCCACTGTGTTAATGTGGTGAGTCCAGCTGAGTTTCTGGTCAATGGTAACTCCCAGTATGTTGACTAGAGTGGGATTCAGTGATGGTAACACCATTGAATGTCAAGGGGTGGTGGTTAGATTGTCTCTTATTTGTGATGGTCACAGTCTAGCATTTGTGTGGCGCCAATGTTACTTGCCACTTGTCAGCCCAAAATACCAAAATATTAAATACCATTTAAATGCTTAAATATGTTTAAAAAGTAATGCACTGAAGTGCCACAAGGTACAAGGCTACAGAGAAGGTGTGGTGAGGCTGCATGGACACTTGTTTTTGCTCTAATTCTCTAGGATATTTGTTCCAGAACATCCTACTTATTTAAATACCATTTAAGCTTTTATGTATTTGATGAGGGTCCTCCTTTGTAATGGAAAATCACAGAAAAAAACAAATAAATTTAGGACAGAAATCTGAAAAAGAAACTATTTGGAACAAACTGTCCAGCACAATCTAGTGTAGATTCAAAATAAGCTTCTGTTAGTGCAGACTTGATGTGCTGAAAGGCCTCTTCTATACTGTATGATTCAATGACTCCAAATGTAATGAAATGCTAAAGGGGGACAGTAATTATTCCAGAGGAGTGAGCTTCAATATACCACATGGCCCCTTCTTATCCCTTTCTCTGTGAGTGGACACTTTGATACTGAGCACACACTAAACAAGGGAGTCTGTAGGAG